CGGATACTGGGTCGCCATAGTTCAGGTATCCTGCAGTACGATTTTCGAGTTAGTTACCAGCGTGGCAGAGCTGTTTCTTACTTTCAAAGGCCCCGCTGCTACCGTAAGAAGGGAAAATAATTTCTGGGCGTTATCGATAACAGACGCGCTAGCAGCCTGGAAATAGTGGGGCGGTGCGCTAAGCTGTTCCTTCGACGCGTCCACGGGTCTTCTTCCTTCCATCTCATCATTCGCTCACGAGCCTCCAACCCGCTCCAGAGCTGGAGTTGGTGACGTCTCCAATTGCTCAACGGCTAATCTCGCAGCGCTAACCATCATGTTCCAACGATCCAGGCCTTCAACCTCGCAGAGCAACTCCGGGTCTACATCGTATGGGTACTACGGATACGGTGACTACAATACGACTACTACGTCCCGACCAGGCACTCGCAGGAACACAGGCAGACCCTCAACTGCGCGACCGAGGACTGGGGCCTCTACTATCGCTAGGGTCGAGGCTCAGAACGTTGTCTGTGCCATTGCCGAGTCTCGTGGTATCTCACCCACTGTTGGCTTGGCTTTTGTGAATCTCGACACTGCAGAAGCAGTACTCTGTCAAATCTGCGATAGTCAAACCTTCGTTCGAACAGTTCACAAACTAAAGGTCTACGGTCCATCCGAGATTCTGATCGTGTCTACTGCGGCGAGCCCTAGATCAAAGCTCTTCTCGATCGTGGAAGAAAACCTCGAAGACATTGGAAGTAAGCTGACCCTGCTTGATCGCCGCTACTGGGCTGAGTCTACCGGATATGAGTACATTCAGTCTTTAGCGTTCAGAGAGGATGTCGAAGCAATCAAGATTTCCGTCACTGGCAACTACTATGCGGTGTGCTGTATCGCAGCAGTGAGTCCTTTGTTTGACATCTGAGTGCTATTCATAACCCAATTTATAGGCACTCAAGTACATTGATCTGGGCTTAGGTATGGTCTTCTCTGCTCACTCCCTTCGCATGAGATACGAGCCATCTGAAGGATCGATGATGATCGATGTGTCTACCATTTACTCGCTTGAACTGGTTCAGAATCTCCGCGATCCGAAGTCAAGAGATTGCCTATTTGGTCTTCTCAACGAGACATTGACGCCCATGGGAGCACGCCTTCTTCGGAGCAACGTCTTACAGCCACTCACGGAGCCAGAGGTACTCAACACACGGTATGCTGCAGTCGACGATATGACCAAAAAGGAAGAGTTGTTCTTCGCAACCCGAGCAGCGCTGAAGGACTTCCTCGATGCCGACCGCATACTGACTGCGCTGATTGTCGCTCCAAGCAAGACCACTCTGCAGACAACGGAGCAATCCATTAATCACCTCATTATGCTCAAGCAATTCGTCAACTCCGTAAGCCCGGTCTTCGAAGCCCTTACTGGAACTGCATCTGTCATGTTGAACAACATCCGCGAGATAAGTGCCCCAGAGAACGTCGCACCTGTCCAGGAACTTATCGACCGTGTCATCAACGAGGACACCACATATGCAAGGCAGCCTTTGGAACTCAGGAACCAGCGCACTTATGCCGTGAAATCTGGTGTGAATGGGCTGCTTGATGTTGCGCGTACGACTTACAAAGAAGCTACTGAAGATGCGTACCAGCATTCAACAGAGCTCAGTCGTGAGATACAATTCATCGTTTTCAGTAAACCTGCTCACTAACTTCTTGAAGAGGAGTGCGATATTCGGCTAGACCTCAAATACGATACGGCACGCCAGTTCTACTTAAAGATCGCAACAACCGAGCTGGAAGGCAAAGCACTACCGCCGATATTCACCAACATCATTCGCCGCAAGAACAACATCGAATGCCAGACTTTAGAATTGATGAAGCGTAATCAGAAGGCATGCGGCTACATGCAGTGATTCGGGCTTTGCTGACCACTGTCAGATCGCTATGTCGCACCAAGAAGTCATTCTCATGAGTACAGTCAAACTCGAAACGACGATGCTCCCGTTTACTAACCATCATCAGGCGATGAAGCGGTCGAGGCTCTCATCGATGAAGTCCGCAGTCATGTGTCTATCTTGTTCAAGATCTGTGAAGCAGTTGCGATGCTAGACATGGTGACTATGCTTCGACTGTCTGTCATGTTGATGAGGCTGACCGGGAGTAGATTGCGGCCTTCGCTCATCTGGTCACAGTGAATAACTACAGTAGGTAGCATCCGTTCCATGGCGCTCAACGTAAGCCAGGCTGACATCTCCTCAGCTCAGCCGCAGCTCACCGATACGCTTGCAATCGAGGCCGGAAGACACCCGATCAAGGAAAAGATCATGAAGAGCAAATTTGTCCCCAACGATGTCTATGCTACACAACAGACGCGGTTCCAGATCATCACTGGTTGCAACATGAGTGGCAAGAGCACTTATATCCGATCCGTGGCTTTGATGACAATCATGGCTCAGATCGGCTGCTAGTACGTTTGATTGGATTACAAACTCTGAATCTCTGTGCACTAACTGCTTGCAGCGTTCCTGCTAACTATGCGTCATTTCCTATTCTGCATCAGCTGTTCGCTAGACTGGGCATGGATGACAACATTGAAACTAATGTTTCTACCTTTGCCGCCGAAATGAAAGAGATTGCATTCATCCTACGCAATGTTGATCGACGTAGCTTGTAGGAGACCGATCCATAAGTGGGTACCATATCATTGCTGACAGAAAGTAGAGTCCTAATCGATGAGCTAGGTCGAGGCACCAGTACTAGAGATGGTCTAGCCATTGCGTTAGCTATCGCGGAAGCCCTCGTTTCGAGTCGCGTATGTGAATATACCCCATTGCTGCCGCCTTCTAACGTATCACAAGGCTCTTGTTTGGTTCGCAACCCACTTCAAAGATCTTGCGACTATCATGAGTGACCGCGCTGGAGTTCAGAACCTACACCTGGCAGTTGAGGTGAGGGCGTTTCCATTCTTCCCACATTAAACCACTCACATTCTTAGATGGAAGACGCGCACAGCATGACGATGCTCTACAAGACCGCCCAGGGAGTCGTCCAAGAGATCCACTATGGCCTAACGCTTGCGCGTGTGGTTCCTTTCCCACCCGGGGTTGTGGAGCATGCTACCTTGGTTGCACAACAGGTCGAGCGTCATATGCTGCGAAAGAAGAAAGCATCCGAAACTGTGCTCAAGGAGAAGCGACGCAAGCTCGTCCTCAATCTCAAGGAGCATCTCGTTCAAGCACACACTGGTGTGTTAGAGGGGGAGGTTCTCACTGCATGGCTTAAGGAATTACAAAAGGAGTTTGTGAATCGTATGACTGCCCTGGAAGCTGAATCTGCAAACGCAGGTCATGAGAGTGAGGACGAAGAGATGATAGACAGGAACGAGCTGAGTGAAGAAGAGCGACCTAGCACGTCCGCCAGTCCGTCGGTCATATCAATTGACTCGCATACTAGCTCCACGGATTCTGATTCTACCATTCGAGCAATGTCAGAAGCATCTACTTTGAGAGCAGTCTCCAGTAACGAGCGCTAGCAGTAACGATCATATGCTCCTATGGCTGCTAGTAGCATGGGAAAGGGCTGATATACGTGTAGGCAAGAGATTGCCGTACAAAGGCCTTCAAAGCCCAGTATGATCAGAATCAGACCTCGATAGGATGGTGATTGCTGATATACATCCGTACATAACCAGAGTTACTTGTGGAAAGACCCCAAATTCAAGCGCGAAGCCCACAAGATTAGCATCAGGATCACAAAAGTTGATCCGGTGTCGATCTTGCCGAACTTGTGTCTGGCCCACTTAGCGCGTGAAGCATCGGATTCCAGGGTCATGATTGGAGGCGCTGCAAAGTGCGGGGGTCCTTATCGCTCCTTCTCCGATTAAATCCCTACTTCGGACGGAACAACTCCAGGGCTGCTGTCGGACCTTGCAACCTTATCTAAGCGATCGTATACAGACCCTCATCGCGGCAACCGTCCTGTCGCTCGTTAGAGCGCGCTAGGTGAACGCATGCAGTGCAACCAACCCAATACCTTAGTACCCGGCACCCCGGTGCACTGCTGCTCGACGCCCAAAGGCTACCCCAGCCTGCCGAGTCGGCCCCGTATGGCATGGTCTTAGCGTGGCGTTCACCAGCCGCGCGAGCATCAGCTTCAGTCATCATTTGCACTATCTTTGCTTTCCCTGTCAATCTAAAGCGCCATGCCTCGACCAAAGAAACCCGGGGTAGAACCTAAAAGAAGATCGCGAAATGGCTGCTGGTATTATCCTAGATCAATGGAGTCTGTTCATTCTCACTCACCAAACACAGGCCGTGTAAAGCTCGAAAGGTCAAATGGTAAAGCAGTACCAATCGTGGTCTCATCAGAGAGTACTAATAGCATCTCACAGTGGAGAAGAAAAGCCAAGCTGTACCAATTGCGAGCGCCAAGGGGAAACATGCGACTACAGCATAAGACTCAACTGGGGAGGCCGTTCAAAGAAAGATAAGACAAGTACAGCCTCTGATGCTTCGAGTGCAGCGTCTGGCAGTCCGTACCAGTCCTCCTTCCCATTTGAAGAGAACGTTTTCTCGTCTGCCCCCGAACACCCCGTGCAATCACAACATGCACGATCAACATCACGAACATCCCCACCTAGATCTACGCATTCCATTGATCCAGCTTTGATGCAAAAGCCGCATGATGCCATCCGTACTGAAGCGTCGGGTGCGGACATCTACCTTCAAAACCAAACGTTCACGTCCGTTCCCTACAATCATACACAGTATCAGAGTACTGTTGACGCTCGGTCGCATGTTACGTATGATTCGGGTGCACCCAACCCCCGTAACACTGGGTTCACATATGCCAATCCTACGATGCCGCCGCCACTGCAGGGTTCAGTGGATTCGATGGCCAAACGCCAGCAGTATGGCTTCTCTACAGACTCGAACACACCAACGTTCCCAGACACAAATTCGCCAAACACACTTTCACCAACGCCATACAGTCCATACTCGGCTATGCCGCTAACACCGATGTCAATTGGCTCTGAAGGAAACATTATGCAAACGTCGTCAACACCGCAAAATTCAGCACAATCACCGCCGGATCTCCGTCGTGTGTCTGTCCAGTCTCTCATCAATGATCTTCCAAGAAAGCGATCACGGCCGGCCGGTGATGAGGTCGGACGTGGCCGACAATATCCTATTGCTGATTCTGCTTTCACCACCTACGGATACGACTTGGGTCTCCCTGATATCGATTCTCCGAGGAATGACGACTTTTCTGCTATTGCCATCTTCAGCCCACAAAGCAACACCATGGGGTTTAACGAGGACATATCGTATGGTAGCACTGACCCCCACGGCAAAGACATGGCCTTCGAAAGCGGGGGTTATTATGCAAAACCAGTTCCGATCAGGATTTCGAAGTCTTTAGAACCACTGCCGTCACTGCTCGTAGAGAACCAGATGAATCTCTTGTACTTCCATCACTTCATCAATCACACAGCGCGGGTTCTTGTTAACCATGACTGCGAGCGGAATCCGTTTCGCGAGATTTTACCAGAGAGTAGGTGAACGCTAATCTTCATGGATCATTGTTAACAGTGGCAGTGGCTGTACAAGACGAGAACATAATGAATCTTCTTCTCGCATATAGCGCTGCACACCGAGCACGCATGCTCAATCACCCCGAGCCCTCAAATCGCATCGCCGTCTGGGTGCAAGACGTGTTTCCCAAGCTACGTGAAGCGCTCAACGATGATCCCAACACTGTATCCGACAGTACTCTAGCAGCAGTGATAATGATGGCGAGTCTGGAAGTTATATCTTCTGGAACATTCGAGGTACCTGTATCCTGGCAAAGCCATCTAACCATGGCACGCCAGATGATCATCCAGCGTGGCGGACCAAAGGGCATGGGACGGCATGATCGCGTGGCCTACTTCCTTTCGCGTTGGTTCGCATACCTCGACGTCCTCGGCTCATTGAGTGGGAACAAGAACGATACACCTCTTGGCTCCTTCTACTGGTCTAGCGAAAACGCTTCCGCGGACGAAGATTTTGAGATTGACTGTCTAATGGGCTTTACGACAAGATGTGTAGGATCATTGGCTCGCGTTTCTGAATTAGCGAAGCGCTGTGAACCGCAGCGTATCGACGAAGAAGGCAATGTAAGGGAGGGCTGGACTCCTAGCCCTGAGATTGTAGAGGAAGCCGTGGAGCTTCGTCACGCACTGGAGGAAGGCTTACTGGACCGCAACATTAGGAAAGGATGTAACCACCGCTCGAGTACTTCCTCTGAGTCTGAAGGTGCATGGGATGCAACCGAGATCTACGCCACCAACGAATTATTCCACTGGGCAGGTCTAATCCACTTGTATCGTCGCGTTCTCGGAAAACCCGCCATGGACCACGAAGTTCAGCAAGCCGTGCGAGAGATTGTGGGCCTACTGTACAAGATCCGGAGAGGAAGTACAGCAGAGGCATGTTTGATCTTTCCCATGTTTGCTGCTGGCTGCGATGCGCAAGATGAAGGACAGAGGGAGAAGATCATTGAGCGGCTGAGGAGTGTGGAGGGCTTCGGACTGAACCATGTAAGCTCCTGCCATCAGAAAGTAAAGACTGACTTGCTTACTCCGTATCAGGTACCCAAAATCAGTACGCTCATGAAGAGCGTCTGGGATACCGGTAAACCGTGGGAGTCGCTCGTCTCTGGCGAGTTCTTCGGTTGAGAATACCTTTGTGAAGATATGTTGCATTGCCGTCTTGGGCCACCGAATCGATGCGATGACTATGACGAGGATCTACCGAGTGCTAGTAATACTGCAGTCATGTGAATCCCGTACATGTAAGTCGACAGAGCAAAGAACCCGACAGCATGGCCATCTGGTGGATTGATGGAATTGATTTCTGGGCAATGAGGCTTGCGCTGCCCATGTAAAGTCGGCGCAAAGATGGCGTCCGTCGACCGCACGCCCTCGACGCCGAGTATGGGAGATGCGGTAGACTGGCTAATCTAAGGACATGAAAGACGAGAGTTTGATAGATGTGAGGCTTGAAAGAAAGTTGGCGCGAATATCAGACTGATGCGATATTACAAAGGAAGATAGCGTAGCACATGGGCATGAGCAGAGAGGCAGATCGACCGGCGACAACCAATCAAGTGTAAGAATACAGTATTTCTGAGGGGTATCATCCATCCATCTGATCTACATATCATTATATTATACAAATGCCCTCCATGAAGCCTCAAACCCTCTGACCCACCACACCAGCATCCACGCACCAAAATCCGCACCCTCACCAAGGCCACCAACCCCCTCTAGCAACTCTCCCCACAGCCCTCGTCCCCTTCCCCACCTCATCAGCCCCCTCCCTAACCTCCTCCACAACCGCATCAACCGCCTGCCCAAACTCCTCCCTCTCCCTCTCCATCGCCTCCGTAGCCTGTCCCCACTTCTGCTGCGCCATCCACCGCTGTTTCTCAATCGCCTGCCGCAGCTCCTCTTGCAAATCGCGTATCTCGGCTTTTGTGTCGTGTGTCTCTTCGATGGTTTCGAGTTTGTACCACAGGTAGTAGGTGAGTTGGTATGTGAAGAGGGCGCCGAGGAAGCATTTTAGGAGGGGCGAGCCGAAGGTGCCGTAGTATGCGCCCTGTGAGGGATTTTGTTAGTATGGAGGGTAGAGGGAGGGTGGTTGTTGGGGTATGACGTACTACCCGCGATGGCTCTTTTGGCGGCGGTGCTGAGTTTGGGTTTGGCGGCGAGCTGGGGGGATGCGGTGGTGCTTCGGCTGCGTATGTTCTTCGGGATGTCTGGCCTATGCGATTGGGTATCGCGCTTCTACTCCATATCGACCGTGTTGCTCTGATGTGATTCATGGTGTCGTAAAGCTGCCAACTTTTGTCCCCGCTTCTGAGCTCGTTCGGTCGCCGCTGCGTGGTCGCCAGGTATTGCGGGAGGGGAGGTGTCGAAGAACGAAAAGTATAACGTTGGGTTGTTTGCGAATATGCGACACAGATTATTGCGCCGACGGTGGTAGAGCTCTCCACGTGCAAAGAAGCGCAGATACGACAAAAGTGCCTCCAGACAGAAAACGGTATAAACCTCCGTCCACTATCTCCGCGTATTCAGCTAATGCCGGTACCCTAGCGCCGCCGCACAGACCCACGCGATGCACTTTCCAAAGGGAACACGTTCACCATACATCTTGAACCCTCATTTCCGCTTCTCTTCTCCCCTCTTACCAGACACTAGACGCTCGCTTCCTTTTTCCCGAAACCCTTCCTGGACCGCGCGATTTACAGCCATCTACCTCGTTCCACGTACACAAACACACATCATAATGGTACGACACCATCCCCTTCGCGGCGCAATGGAGCGGCTCTCCCTCCTTTTGTCGCATTCATACCACAGATGGAATAGGTAGCTAACCATGGCCACCAATCCTACAGGCGCAAACACCACAACAGCGCCAGGCAAACATGCGTTTCGCCAAGGCGCAGGAGAAGAAGATGGGCAAGCCCGAGTCAACGGAGCCCGTGGTCAAGAAGAGGGCGCCTCAGAAGAGCCCCATTAGCAGGTTCTGGATCAGTACGTTCTTTTCGCCCCGTGGTCTACTTTCTTAGATCTTGTGACGACATGTACTGACTAGTATTCCCACAGTTGTTCTTGCTTTCATACTAGTCGGCGGTCTGCTCTTCGAGGTCCTTAAGCTCTTCTTTTAGAAAGCTGGGGTCATGCGACGCGATGCGATCGGTTACCGGACGAATACGACTTGGGCCTCTACTTCGATTTCGATTCTACAAACACGGGGGGACTACACATCGCACACATATATGCTGGGAGAGCGGATAAAAGGGAGAAGTTGGAAACAGCTTGGAGGAGCAACTTGGCTTTGAGGCCACTTTCTTGCGTCAACTACATAGGGCATACGGCGTTATAGAGGCATCGTTGCGGCATCAAGGGGACTTGGTATAGCCGATTTTGTGGTAGCAAATTACCATTGAGCATTTGATATCACATTTGTCCAAGACTCAGACACCCATCTGCAGCGTGCCTAGGCTACTACTCCTCCGGTGCATCGGCACCCTCATCCATGACCACAGTCCGCCTCTTCTTTTTCTTCTTCTTGACTTTGCCTTCTTCCTCGCCCTCAGCTGCGCCTTCAGCTGCGTTCTCATCTTGGCCCTCAGGTTTGACCTTCTTCTTTTTCTTCTTCTTGATAGGCGCTGCTTTTTCCTCTTCACCAACTTCCGCTTCCGGTGGAGGCGTTTCGGCTGGCTCATCTCCTTCCACAGCAACCTTTCTGACCTTTCTCTTCTTTTTCTTGACGGCGACTTCTTCTTTGACGTGTAATCTCTCGCTCGCTCGCTGCATCTCAAGCCGTAGTCGCTCGACTTCCTGGAGCGCCTTCTTCATCTCCGCGTCTTCCTGGGCCTTCCTTTCGACTTCGAGTTGAGTGAGCTTGCGATTCGATATGCCTTCGTCATCCAAGCTCAACGACCCAAGACCGGAGCTGTCCACCTGCAACAGTGATTTTTTCGTCTTCCCTGGACGTGGTTGCACGATGTCATCTCTCGAAGCGTCTGGTGCAGCAGGTCCAAGTGTCTCATCGCCCATGATGTCGACTTTGCGCACAGGCTTGCGCGGACTCCGCGATCGCGGTAGATGTTCAGACGATGACCCTTTGCTGTCGAGATTGAGCTCCATTATTGGAATCGAATCGATATCGAGCTCGTTGTTCTCCCTGTTGCCATCTCGCACTATCCTACTCAGTGGTGTGACTGCGCCGCTGCCTTTATCCGCTTCGGGGTCGATGTAGAATGGGTCATCTTTGTAGCGTTCTTTCCTTTCAGCTTTCCGACGCGCAATGATATCAGCGTCCAGATATTCATCTTCCGCTGCGTTTTGATATGATGTAGGTTCTTTATGCGGGGCATCCAGGCGATCTGCAGCCGGTGCAGCAACAGCAGGAGGCTCTGAGTATGCGGCTGCAGGCTCCGAATAAGCCGCATATACATCATCCTCCTCTGTCTCAAAGCCTTCTGCATCGGCTGTGTAGAGCAAATGCTGTAGGTTGGGGTTGATTGGTGTATCCAGATCCAGATCTTCAGGCAAAGGAACCTTGCGTTGAGCACCAGGAGCGACCGGGTTAAGCTCAGCGCCAGAAAAGAGGGCAGGTATAGCTTGAGTAAGTAGTAGAGGTGGATCGGTGAATGCGTCCTGGTCCGCGCTAGCAGCAGTGCCTGATGCAGCTTCTGCCGCGAGACGCATGAGTTCAAGGTACTCAACTGCCCGTTCTTGGACTTCCAGACTAGGATGTGTGGAGAGCGGCTCCAAAAAGTGGATAATACGAGCCATGAGAAGGGACATTAGCGTTTTGCGCTCCGGAGTCCATGAGACTTGATCGTTTCCAGCCATGCTAGAGAAGACCTTGGGTATCGCTTGCAGATATACAGCGAGCGTCCTCGAAGATAATTGGAGAGAAGATGGGTGTAGCAGAGAGGTCATGACTGGCTCTGGGCGGGTGAGGTAGTTGGCGTACTCTCCAACCAGCCAGCCAGCGTATTCCAGTACACCTTGGCCGCCGTTTCCGGATGCTGGGAACATTTGGTCTCTCCGATCAACGAGCACGAGCGACTGTGCGGCATCTATAGCTTCTGATCGAACGCTCTTCACCCGAATGGCAACGTTCTGCAATTCGTGTCCGATGCCACCACCAATGTCGTCTGAATGTTCTATTTCTTCCTCCTCTTCCATAACCGAGGTTGCTTTTGTTGCCGGTGATACCCTGACTAGCTGAGTAAGTACATCAATGTACCATTCGAAGTCGGCAATGTTGCTGTAAGTATCGCGTGAGCACATCTCCAGGATCCTCCGAATGACGCTTATCCTGTAGTCGTCTGGCAGTGGCGGCGGCTGGTCGGATTTCTGTTCGTGCTGAGGCAGATTCTCTTCTGCGTCGGAGTCGTCGTCACCATAAGGTGATATGCCAGTCAGCCTACCTCTGTCGTTGTTGGGATCGCTCGCCGCTGAGGCGATTGGTGCGTTTCGAAGCTGTCGCATCAACCTTCCAACAATCGCTGTGAGGTTGTCTGCATTAACCATGCCAACCACCAGATCCAAAGCACGCATTCGTATTGAGATATCGGGATCGTCTATGCATTCGAGGATGACGTCTTGCTGCTGGGAAACCAAGTATGGATGTGAGGTGACGATCTTCTCGAACGCGAGTAGTGCGACATATTTTACTGCAGATTGATGAGAAGCCAGACGTCGAATAACAGTGTATATTAGCTTACAGTTTGCATCTCCCTCTATGATCATCATGCCTCGTAGTTTTCCAACACATAGCTTTGCTACCTCCTCACCTTCAGCAGTGCCTTCTACGGCTTCTAGGATACCACCCTGGATGATACCACTGATACATTCGTAAAGTAACGACATGGCAGACGTCTCCCGTATAATCTTGGTCAACGGAGGTAGCAGTTTCTTGATGAGTCGGGGTTCTAATGGGGTTAACGTTGCAAACTAAGGCAGGTCAGTTCAAGTTCTGGGTTTATGTCCTCTGAGCTGAGTGCTTACAAGTTTGATGAGCTTAATAGCCATCCAGTTATTGCCTCCTTCTACTAAGAGATCAAATAGTCTCGGTGCAAGCGGTAGGAAGTCCTGTGGTCTCCGCCATCCCAGCTCACACACGACGTTGACGATTGCCGCTGTGACGCTCGCATCCTCATTGTCATCTAACAAGCGCTCCTTGATCTTAGGCCATGCGGGCCGCAGTGTCTCTGGATACACAAGAGCCAGGCGGTATAGTGTTACGACAGTCTTCTTCCGGACCATTGCGTGCGAATGCGTCAGGCGCGGTATTAGGTCGGAGAGGACCGAGTTGGCCATGCTCGGGTTTATGACGTGTGGTATGGCGCCTAGCGGGAGGGCGATGTACTGGGGACTCGAGCTCATGATGTCCTTCTTGAGCTGGTTCTCGGCGAGCACGAGGACTTCGGTATCCCGTCGAAAGCTCTGTACTGCGGCCAGGTAACCCGTGCGCTTCTGCTTGAACTTGGAGCTTGACATGACCTCGAGGACGTTGAAGCTGGCCCAAGACATGTCGTGGCCGAACATCTCGAGGTACGTGAGCTTCATGAGGGCCGTGGCCTTGAGGTCCATGTCGTTGGTCCGTATTTCCTTGCGACATTCTTTTATGCTCTCGGCGATGTACTCGCGCTCGCTGCCTTTGTGGTTTCGGAGGCCCCGAATGAGGTCGAAGAGAGATTTCTCGAACCTAGGGGACTGTTAGTCACGACACTTGTATTGGAGATTTGGCGAGCATTGCATTCTGGCGTGGCTCAGGCAGCGTCACGCAGTCGTGTGTCGAGGTGTGCAGGCGCGCGAGGAGGGGTAGGTGTGCAGCGTGAGAGTGAAGGTGGTGGGCGACTAGGCATCATCATTGGGAGGCGGTCGTCATGGCGGGCGTGTTTGGCGACATGAAAGCGGGCTCTAGTCGGTCGTCTGCAGGGAAAGCGACTGCTTGTCGGGTCGAGGCTGTTGACGTGCACCTGGAGTCCAGAGGCTCCACTACCGAACGCCCGCTAGTTTCGCCGGCGGAAGCTTGGGACAGGCATCCCCATCAGCTTACCTAACTCGACATGCTTCTCCAGACACTCTGTCGCCATTGACACGCACCCGACACCTAAAGTCGACGCCCGCAGCCGCCAGCATGACACAAGCCAACCTCCTCTCTCCACCCGCGCAAATACCACCGCCCACCGCCCTCGCCCTGTCCCAAAAAGCCCCCCTCGTCCTCTCCACAACACCAACGTCGACGCTCCCGTGGCCCCTCTCGCTGCTCTTCTCCCGCGAGACACCCGAAACATGG